GCAGATCGCTTATAAAAATAGACTAGTGTCAGTGTGTGGGTAAGTCGCCCTTAAAAATAGGCCACAGTGAGTATATGCGGGCAAGTCGCCATTGAAAATAGACTAGTGTGAGAGTGTGTGGGTGGTCGCCCCTGAAAATATACCAGTGTGAGTTTGTATGGGCAAGTTGCCCGTGAAAATAAACCAGTATGAGTATATAGGCTAGTCGCCCCCAAAAATAGACCACTTTTCTTCAAAAGGGCAGGTCGCCCATAATAATAGACCACCAGTATATTTTTTTTTGTATAACTAAAATGAAAAAAAAAACAAAAAAGAAAAAAGAGTAGACCGAGTCTGGGCTTTAGGCCTAGTAGGCCTCTAAGTGTGTTTGGCAAAACACACCCTTATACCTTGACCATAATTTTTATGCCCATTTTAGTTTGACATTTGGCCAAACAAGCCCCTTTTCAATATTAGAAAATTCCAAAAATATTTACGGGTCTTCGTTGATTTATTTGTGGGTTCCTTACACTTTATTTAATTTTTTTCTTTATGCTTGTATTTTTTGTAGATGTGCTCAATCTATGGATTATTATTGTTAAATGCAAATATGTCATGCCATGTTTTTTTTTTATTCTATCTAAAAAGGAAAAATAACAATAAAGGATAAACAAGAAAAAAATGACAGAAAATTTCTTCTTCAAATTCATTTTTCGTAAAAATATTCACTGATGCTAGAGTCAGTTCATAAAAATATTCACTGATGCTAGAGTCAGTAGTATTGTATTTTTGGTTGGTGTGATATTTACCAACGCCAGAGTTGGAAATATTCGTAAGAATTATTCACTAACACTAGAGTCAGGAACATAAAAGAAAGAATAAAAAAAAAAGGAGAACAAATTCTTAGCAATTTTAGACAAAACCAGCAATGCAGCCTGTATTAGGTAGAATGCTTAAAGGGTGATAGCATCTTCTCTTTTGCATAACCAGTCACGTACCATAAAATCTTTGTTGACCAGTTAGGATTTCTAGTGACCATAATACTAGGTGACGACTATTTAAACAAGACCTTTTCTCCTAAAAGAATAAAATGCCAGATATCTGTTCCTTTTCCAATCAAGATTATATTTTTAATCAGTTGTTGCAATGTCCGGGTGTGATAGAATAACGACTCCACTAGGGAATTTAGGACTAAGCTTTGCTATTTGTTTTTTTTATTGCTAAACTATATTTGTTGTATTGTTTTTTTCTCCTTGTTGTGGCTATGTTGAGTTTATCAATTTTTATTTATTTATTTTTTCTCTTTTTACGATTTTAGCATGCATTGTTTTTCATGTTTATCATGCATAGATATTGGATATGGATCTAAGGTCTTCATACATCACTTATCTCATTTTTAAATACATGTGGTATCAAATTTAAGATAAGTGGAGGAGTAATGGCACCCCAATAGCTTTAGCCTGGGTAAGGCTCGTGAAACTATCCAACTCTCGCATGATTGTTTGCTCAATAATGATCGGTGTACCGAACTGATATTAATCAGTACGTCTATCTTCACGCTGGTTGTAAACCTCATATCAACCTTCAAGGACGATCACTGAGCATGCAAAAGACCTTGGAGACTAGATAGCAAAACTGCCCTGATGCATTTAAAGATTAGATCCTATCCTTTAGGTAAATCCCTGCATAATTTCACTAAGATAAGCTTAACATGTAAGCATCCTTATTACAAGGCTTTCGAGTGACATAATAACTGCTATTTGTGAGGTAACGACTGTTGAGTATGGACTTAAATCTGAATCCTTGCAAATGAATGAGGAAGATTGCCCTAGACTGAATGTAAGTGAGACACCGTTACTCAAAGATATTAGGTGCATCATAAATGACACCAATCAATTATTTTTTTCTCACCAAGTATTAGATAGAAGAAGCGAAATTTGCCATGAAATATGGGAGGATTTTGCACCTTTTAAA